GTGCACGCAAATACACACATATAAAGGTCACCTGATTTTACCAGGACTTTTCAGCAGAATATGAGTGTAATAGCTAGAAAATCAGGCTCTGCCATCCAATAATATATGTACTTATACTCAATGACCAGAAGCTGAAGTGAGAATTGCAGGCTAAACCAAAAAATTACCCAATAGTTATTAAGCACAGTCCTTTCTAAAAGATATTTAAAGTAAATATTTTTAAACATAAAGTCATAAACTTGCAGAAACCATTATTGTGCTTTATTTTTGCAGATTTATAAAGGGTATGTGTGACTCAACTGTGTGGCTCTAAAACATGAACTCTGTGATGAAAGTGTCTCATTGTTAAGAGTTAAGACACACTAAGAAAAATTCTAAATATTAGTAAAAAGAATCTAACTCAGGAGCCTAAGAAGTGACTTTGATATTTTTCTATGTTTAAATGTTTTACTTCAAAGTGCCTAGCATATGAGAGTGGATACAAATTGAAGTTTTATCAGCCTTCCAGGTACCCTGCTTGTGTGTAGTTTGCACATTGCCAGAACAAACATGGGATCTCTGCAACAATGTCAAGATGCCATTTGCTCTTCTTTATGATCCCCATAAGATCAATGGCTTTTGATGCATCATAATTTGATCTTTGGCTTCTCACAAAGCTTGAATGTTCTCATAACATCATTAAATATTCTAACTCTACAAGTCCTTTAATGTAAAGATTAGTTCGTTTGTGTTCTTTCAAGGCTTTATCTTCACAACGATTAACTGAGAGGCTGGTTTGTTTAATGCACTCAAACTTTGGGTGAGGGTCAATCGATCTCTGAAGAGTCATACATATGCATATATAAATATATTATATGTATTTGAAGGAGAATTCTGCATTAAATGGCTGATGTATGCTAAGAAGAAACTAAGGATTCATATAAACTTTTGTAATTTTTAAAATTATTATTTTGTTCTTTAATGCGTATGAATGCTTTATAAGCACATCGTATGCACATTGTGTGAATGTTGTCTGCCCATCTAAATTGGAAGTGGGAAAAGATTCCCAGGTATCGGAGTTACAAATGTTTATGAGCTGCCATGTGGGTGTTAGGTATCAAACCAGAAACCTTTACAAAAGCAACAAATGTTCTTAGCTACTTAACCACCTCTCCAGGCCCTCATATGCATTCTTAATACCTTTGATAGGTAACTAATAATGTTGGAAATACAGATTTAGCAGGTTGTCATGAAAGGCTTCTTCTGGTTTTAATAAGCTGTCAACTCTTAAGTGTATTTTTAGAACCACTAACAACACATTACAAAAATTTAAGGATACTGACAATATATTTCACTGACTGACTTGTTATATGTGTATTTACTTATGAAGATAATTTTATATTTTCATTTTTTATAAATCATGATATCAAATATAGAAATATACAATGAATATAATTATATTTACCCACACAAGCAGCCTATGCCATCGTTACAGTTTTTAATTTTTTTTTCAACTACAGCACAGAGGGACAGTTATAAACAGCCTCGACACTCATGGGGCCTTATTTTAAATTACAAAAGACTCACTACCTTTTTTTATTCTCAACTAGAAATCATAAAGTATAGCCAGTTTAAATCAAATTTTTAGTTTTTACTGACATTTCTAATGGTTTTCTCACACTCAGTAACCTACCCCAATTTTCTTGTCCCCACCATAACCTGTACATTAGCTCCCAACCTCACTTCGATCCATTTGCTTTCTAAACCCTGATGATATTAAACCAGGTGTGAAATAACACATATATTGTCATTGTTATTCTCAACTTCTTAGTGATTCACTACCCACCATAAAACACATAAAATATTTGTAATATGTGTAACACTGGGATTTTAATCCATATTTTCTCATTCAGTGCTCTATGATTTGATTTCAAAATTCCTCATGTCCTCCGAAACCTACCCTTATAGAGGTTACCATCTGGTAAACTGTTTACCTCTTATTTTCTTTCCATTATTCCTATTACAATTTATTTCTAAGCAGTCCTTCAATTTGCATATTAATTTAAATAAAATATATATTTTCAGTGTTTTTCAGTGACATAAATCTTGTTCAGTGCTGTGATTCCAGGGCTCATGAATAGGGCTACGTTTTCACCTGTAGCTATAAATCTTTCTCCACTCTCCTTTAGTTTTCCATTGTAAACTGTCTTTTCTAAACTTGCACAAAGTAGTTGTCCTATTATCTGTAAGTATATCACACTGAACATTTATTTCCCAAATAATATATTATACATATGCAATTATTTCTTTAGGAGCACAGTCATCACACATGATGCAATTTTATTTTTTATTTATCTGTTTGTCTGGCTATTTGTTTATTTACCTATTTTTTATTTTTTTTCATTTATTTTACATTTTTTAAAATTATTTATTTATTTATTAAAGATTTCTGTCTCTTCCCCGCCACCGCCTCCTATTTCCCTCCCCCTCCCCCAATCAAGTCCCCCTCCCTCGTCAGCCCAAAGAGCAATCAGGGTTCCCTGCCCTGTGGGAAGTCCAAGGACCTCCCACCTCCATCCAGGTCTAGTAAGGTGAGCATCCAAACTGCCTAGGCTCCCAAAGCCAGTACGTGCAGTGGGATCAAAAACCCATTGCCATTGTTCTTGAGTTCTCAGTAGTCCTCATTGTCCACTATGTTCAGCAAGTCTGGTTTTATTCCATGCTTTTTCAGACCCGGGCTAGCTGGTCTTGGTGAGTTCCCGATAGAACATCCCCGTTGTCTCAGTGTGTGGGTGCACCCCTCGCGGTCCTGTTTATTTTCTCTTCTTCATCTCCTCCTGTACCATTCACACACCTCCCACGTATCCCCTCCCCTCCATACACTCTTCTTCTGTCTCCCTTCAGAAAAGAGCATGCCTTCCACAGGAGTTAACAAATCATAGCATATCAAGTTGAGGCAGGACCAACCTCCTATCCCTGCATAGAGACTGGGAAAGGCATCCCAGCATGGGGAGTAGTTTCCCAAAAGCCCTCACAGAATCAGAGGCAAGTCATCATCCCACTACTATGAGTCCCCAAAACAGACCATTCTATGCAACTGTCACCCACATGCAAAGGGATCTGTCCCATGTAGGTTCTCACTCTATTGAACAGGACTTCCAGTAACATGTCTCAGTACCTGGCTGTGGATCTCTGCCTCTGCTTCCATAACTGTTGGCTCAGTTTTAAGCACTATTGTTACTTAAAACAGCAAAATTATTTTTAAAGTAGCTTCACTAATTTATGCCAATACTTAAATTGTATATGCATTGCACTTGCTCAGAAACTTGGTCAATTCCTGATGTTATCGGCCTGTAATTGTGAACTCACTGACTCATATTAAATTATCACCAATTACTGGTGAAAATAAGAAACTCTTATTTTTTTATTTATCACATTCTTTTTCACTAGTTGTTTTTTGTCAAATTTATTTTTGATGTTTTGACTCATATTCCTGTGACAAAGATGACATATTCATATACTCAAGAAACAAATTCTTTGTCAATAGCTTTTTGCTCTTTGTGTGGTCTTTATGTAGCAATTGATAAGAAAAAAAAATCCTAATTTAATGTAATATAATTCATAAATGTTATATTTTAATAACAGTGTTATTTTATTTCTGTTTAAGATGTCATTCCATATTTTGAGCTCATAAATGAATTCTCATTCTTTTACCACTTAAATTTTACATATTTACATTTTGTATTTAAATATTAAATATTAATTTTTTTAATAATGGAAAGTAGGAATTCAGCTCTATAATTAGTCTTTTAAGTACCTAATTATTATAATACTATTGATTAAAATAGACTTATTATGTTGACGAATTATAGCAAACACTTGAACTTGAATACCATGAATTTGAGGACATCCCGAGTTAAAGAGGATTCTCTTTAAAGTCCAATTTTCTAATTTCTTCAAACCTTAATATTTTTTCTAAGCACAAGATTAGCAATTGTATGCAAGAACTATCACCTTTTCTGGCCTCTTGTCAATCTTAGACACTTCGTTGCATTTTCAGTTACTGAAGTTAAGATGTGACCAACTTGGAAATATGTAACATTCAATTTATGCTGCAAAATAAATGTTATCTTTTTATGTCTTCCTCAGTAAATATGATAAGCATTGTGATAACATGATGATGAAAGGTAATACCTCCTTTAAGGATAAAAGCTATAACCCATATAAATATTTATGACTGTAGATATTTCTCAAATAATTTAAAAATCAGAAACGGTATCATCATATTTGTTTTTATTACACGTCTTGATTCTTCTCTCATTGTTTAACACTTTTTTCATAAAACATCAAATTCAAATTGGTTATATATTTTTTATGCTTTAATTTCTTCTTAGTATCTCCATTTCCCTAGTAGGGTATAAAATCCAGACAATCAGGGGTCTAATTGTTTTTTTTTTTAAGTGACAATTCCTACACTATTTCATGTAAAGAAGATGTTTCATATATTTTAGAGAGAATAGCATATAAGATTTGTGTAAGAAGGAATGAAGAAATTTCTTAACTGGTAAACTATCTGCCAAACATGAAAATCTGAGTTTAATTCCTGAAAACCCACATGAAAGGCCTGAGGAAATAGGATTGTTCCCATAATTCTAGCTTTGTTGTGAAGTGTTTAATAAAGCTAATTAGCCAGAAAACATTACCTGCTTCATGAACTTTATGTTCAGTAAGAGACCCTGACTCAATAAAATAAAGTTAAAACAAGAAAATAACAGATGTGGACCCACAGTTTCCATGTATGTTCACAGCTCCATTCTTGCATGTGTTCTTACAGGTACACTAACAAATACAAGCACCTTATGTAAAATGTTACACATAGACACACAGTGTAAATTAATTAACAAATTAGAATTGTAAAAGAATTTGCATAAGTAAATAGAAAAAATAAATGCTCTAAGGTATAATGTTTCCAAATTGTTTATCACTGTTACTTAAAAAATGCTATTTTTTTTTATTTTCAGATATTAACATGGCAGGGGAACCCAAACCTTATAGACCAAAGCCTGGAAACAAGAGGCCGCTGTCTGCTCTTTATAGGTAAGTAAGAAATACCATCCCACTACATATATGAAATTTTTGACACATTATCAGAAAAATATGATGTGCAAATAATTAACTAATTTAAAACAACAATCTTTATTATTAAATTCTATTGATTAAACACACACACATACACACACCAGGAGTCATAGCAGATGCTTAAGCATTAATGTAAATGGAAGTTTGTCCTGCCTGGTAGTCCCACAGCTATTCGGTCACAAAGAAACAAACAGAGGCTTATATTAATTATAATCTGTTTGGCCTATTGCTTAAGATTATTCTAAACTACCTTTGACAAATTAAATTAACTCGCAATTCTTGTCTATATGTAGCCATGTGGCTTCATACCTTTTTTACGTGAGGCATTCTCATTTTGCTTTCTCAGTTTCTGACTGGTGACTGCCTTCTATGCCTTTCCTCTTCCCAGAATTCTCCCAGTCTGGTTACACTATCTATGCTTGCCTGGCTACTGGTCAAGCAGAGTTTTATTAAACCAACATGAATGACAAATAATTACAGTATACAGAAGCTTAATATTCTCATTTATAATAATATACTTGCCAATCATGATCTGTGATTACACAAAAATATTTACAAGAAACAGTTTAAAAGAAGATGCTCATGGTTTTTGAATGTTTCACTACACAGACGGCTGTGCTGTTCATCATGAGAACATTCGCTTTTGAGAAATGGCAGGGAAGAACAAAGCTGCCAACTTTGTGACATACAGGAGACAGGCAACAAAAGAGGAACCAAAGTACAGCATCCTGAGGCATGCATCGAGGGATTTATTTCCTTTAACTAGACCCCACATTCTAATAGTCTGCTCTATGAATTCAGTACATTAATGCATTTATGATGTCAGCATCCAACCGCTTTTTACAAGCACCACCAGCTAGTAACAAAGGCTTTAATACATGAAATTTAAAGGGTTGTTCATACTCCAACTACAGCAATATTCATTTCACGAACCTCGACAGATTCTTTCACAGTTAAGAATGCTTGCCGATCTTCCAGAGAATATGAGTTTTGCTGCCAAAACAATAAACAATCTGTGCTGCTGACTATCTCACATACTACGCTGTGAATGTCTGAATACTACTTGATGTGTTTTTATTTCAGTCCTCTTCAGTAGATCAAAAACTTGGAGTTACATTAATTTTTTTTATCAAATCAGCCTATTAGAAACATGATACCAGTAGCCAAGCACATGTCAGTAGGCATTGTACTCCAGTATTCTCCCAGCTATAAATTGGTTCATCTTATTTTGTTACTGTCTACATCATCTCATGCCTATTTTCTCAGAATGACAAATATAGTTTTCTTACCTAGATAATACAATCACTTTGTTGCCTGCCTCAGCTAAGATTTTTATTGCTGTGAAGAGTCACCACGACTATGTCAACTCTTATAAAGGAAAACATTTAATTGGGAGCTGGTTTACAGGTTCAGAGTTTCAGTCCATTATCATTATATGGGAAACATGGTGTTGGACAATGAGCTGAGAGTTCTACATCTGGATCAACAGGCAGCAGGAAGGAAGAGAGAGACTGAGGCTGGCTTGGCATTTGAAACCACTAAACATACCTTCAATGACACATTCCCTCCAAGATCACACCTCCTTCACCAAGGCCATGTGTCCTAATCCTTCCAAATGGTGCCTCTCCCAGATCTGTGAGGCCATGTTCAGTCAGATCATGACACTCTCCTGAGGCTGTTATAATTATTCACTGTATTTTTTCTCCTGTTGCTATTTCACTTCTCAAAGTAGATTATATGCAGGGCTTAAGTGTTAATAATAATAATATGTATTATTAACAAGTGTAAAGTGTGGTTGATCTAAGAAAGAACATAATAGTAACTTCACAAAGCTTTTAAGTTTTGTGTAGCTTTTTATTTTTTAACAACCACTATTGAAAAACAAAACAAAAAGAAAAACTGCTCTACAGTAAAGACCTATGTGCCACTTCATGTACTTTACACTTTTCTTTTTTAAATGCTGACTCTGCATCAGTCTCTCTAAAATTCACTTCAGTTAGATTTAGGAAGTTGTTCCAGGCTATTGATGATTGAATGAGATCTGTATCATACAATTTATTGGTATTCTCCAAGACATATTTCATCATTCGACCGCAACAGAGCTAAAAGAAGTGTTGAGAAAGGCTTCCTGTTTCAATGATATCACTCGGTTAACAGAAAATTAAGCAATATGTTTTTAGATTGGCTATGCTCTGATAAGGGAGGGTAAAACAGTTTTCATGAGGAGGCCCCATGCTATTCTCTTATCTTTATTGTCTAAACAAATATTCTCTGAACTCTGTGATGACACAGTCTCATTTCCCAAACTTAAAGATTATAAACGTCACTTGAAGGGGCCTATTTACACTGAAGGGCCCAAGATTTTCAAGCGATTGTGATAAAGAAATGTAATTTATTTATCTTTTATTTTGGATGTCTAAATGGACAATCTGAAAATAAGTAACTAATGATATGTAACCTAAATAAAATATTTTATACAAAATAAGAAGCAACAAAAATAAGTACTGATGATTGGATAATAATTTTCATTGATAGGAAAAGGCAGGAATGAATACATTACCCAAACATGGCACATTTTCTACCTTGTTTGAGGCAAAGCTAAGCAATACACATCATTTTCTTGTTAGTTTCTTTTTAAATGCACACATAATTAGTTGTTGTGAGTACAGAATCCTGAAAGTCATGGAATAAGTTATTAACAACGCAATATGGCAAGGTTTTTTTTCTTTTTTTCTCTCATCACACAGTTACTAGTATCTGTATAATGATGTTAGTTTTCATATTTTTTTATTTTAGAATAGTTTTGATTACTTTATGGAGATGAAAGCTCATAAAAAGACACTGGTGTCTTTCTAAATGTTATTTCTTTTTACTGCCCAGTTGTACTGAGTTGTAAATGTTTGGTTTAAGTATGCTGTACTATATATAAATTACATCAGTGGGAAAATGTTCATTTGACCTACTTTCATCTATTGAAGTAAATTAAAGTTGAAGTGTGTGGAAATTGACAGACAATAGCCAAGAGAACAAAAAGGAATGAATGTGAAGCTGAGAAAACCTCTTTAAACTTATTTTTTCATTCTTACATACATTTAATAGTACCTTATTTTCATAACGAAAATGCTTCCACAGTCATTATTCATCTATTTAGTATACAACTCCTGCAGGTTGAGAATACAACCCTGCTACATAAATAAGAAATCTAAATTTTAAACAGAATAAGCCTTGTCCTTTTCAATGCAAGGTAGCAAAATTAGTTAGTGGCACTGGTCTTCCACTTCTATGTCTGGGGCCCTTGTTACTAGAACACAGTTTCTAACTTCACCCAGCTGCAAGCACCTGGAAAAAAAAAACAGGTTAGACAAAACAAAGTCTTTCTATTCATCAACACCAATAGTTAGTAATACTGCAAGAGCAATTTTTGCATACTAGATACTTCATAAACACAATAAAATTGACATCTACTTGTATAATGATAAGGTCTTTACTTCAAGTTATCTAACACACTGATTCTCATCTTTCCTTCCTTCCTTCCTTCCTTTTATTTTCTTCCATACTGGACATTGAACTCAGGGACCTTCACATGTACTTCTTAGCTATTTCTTTTCACTGTTTATTTTATGTTATTTTGAAACAACGTGTAAATAATTTGGCCAAACTGGCCTTTGAACTAACATCCCAGTGCATGCCAGTCTGGAGTTTGTGGTTCTTCTTCCTCAGTTTCAAAGTAGCTGGCATACAACACTAATTATAATTAGAGGCCAGGCTATAATTTTCATGATCATAAAATATTTTGTATCTGAGGTGAAATCACTTGCTCTATTTGGAAGAGGACATGTTCATCTTTGAAATTACCATTCTGTATTTCCTAATGTTTAAAGTTTTTAGTCTACTTATTTAACCTCCATAAAATAACATGGTTCCATTTGCACATCCATACTTTAATACATATTAAAGATGTCTTAAAGATTAGACACACTTACAGGAGTCAAAGAACTGCTGGTATAGAAAGGCAAAAACCAAACAATGAGAAAAAAAGATAATGGGGTAAAAGGGGCATTATGTACATATCTAAAGGAAGTTTCTCATTTACTATATTGCTTTAAACTGATGCATTTCTGTGACTGCACTCTGTCTGGGCCTCTGCCTGGACAATGATAGGACCTTCTTCACCCCCATCCACTTTGTCACTGTCATCTGCCGTGGTTTGCTTTTCCCATTAAATACCCACTGACACAGGACTGTGCTTTGTATCTTATAGTCAGAGGATTTTTCAGTTTATCCACACAAATTTCACTAATACCTACTGTATGTTTAATTTATACTGTATACACAGTAGATAGAAGAATATATTATAATGAGACTTAAAATAATCATACTGTATTAAGCACAAGTTAGATGTAGAAACAGATGAGATGCCTGCTTACACTCCAAGAAGATAAATGAGATCATTACTGATTCTGCATAAGTAGAAGGAAGTGAATTCCCTGGAAGTGATAGGAATTAGAGGATGCTTGAGCTTGCTTCTAAATAAGACTTCATGCAAAAATAAAGGCATAATGAGCAATGAAAGCATACAAAGCTGAAGCACTGAGAACACAAAAGAGCATGGCTTAGTGGGAGGGAGCTGGTATGGTTAACCTGAAGGGGAACAGGAAAATTATGTTGGTAAAAGACCTAAATACCTCTACATATTCTATTGATATTAGTATTCTATTAATATTAGACTTTTACTTTTTAGACAGCAAGCAATCATTTGAGTATGTGACTGAGGAAGTGAGGTGTGAGGGAGGAAGAGATGCCCAAGGTCTCCAGCTTTGGCAAACAGAAACAGATCATAGGAGTGAAATAGAAGAAGCAGGAGAGACAAAATAAATACTGAAAGCTCAGATATAAAGTATGTAGAAAGGAGAAAAATAAATGATTCCACTACTGAATATGAATTCATAGAGACAGGC